TTTTACAAACGATGAAGCGATGAAGCGGCGTAGGTGTGCGGCGGCCTTAACATCGGCTCATCGGCTCATCGGCTCATCGGCTCATCGGTTCAAAATCAAACATGTTTGATTTGGAACGATCACCCGATAAAAATAAAATCGTCTACAAATGAACGCGCACACCTACATCGCTTCATCGCTTCATCGCTTCATCGTTTGTAAAAATCGGCTGGTGTGCGGCGGCCTTTAGGACCAGGAAAATAAACCGTGGCTTGCGACTTTATGCGAGCAAATAAATCGTTAGAATGAATTGATCTGTTGCAAACGTATAGGTGTTTAGTGTGTGCGCGCGTGTGCCTGTGCGTGTGCGTTTGTGTAACATTTGTATGTTTTCAACATCAGAAATAGAAATATCGCCATAGAAAACCATTAGATCGCAGCTTGACATGCAAGCTTTGCTGGAATGGCAAATTTACCGAAAACTCATTTTGATGCCGAAACTCACATGCATTCACTGCTCTGTGTGTGAGCGCGTGTGTATGAGTATGTGTGAGTATGTGTGTGTGTGTGTATGTGTGCGTGTGTGCGCGTGCGTGTGCGTGTTCGTGCGTGCGTGTGTTCGTACGTGCGTGCGTGAGCTTGCATGTGTGTGCTCGTATACGATCGTATAACTCTTCTCTGATGATGAAAAACAGTCCGAAAACTACTGAGATTTCTCTTTCAATTCCGCGGAATAATCTATACGCGAATTGTACGCCAGCTATAGAAATCCCGAACTATAGACGGACCCTTCCGACTCAACCAGTCCTTCACGACGGTCCTGTGTCTCATGCTGTCTGAACGAGAGCACAAGCTACGACGTGTCGGGTCAGTCTATACCTAAAACTGCCAGAGTTAATTTATATTTCGCGTGAACATGAGATAAAAGTTAACACCGAACGAATGAGCGCAAAAGTGAACATTCGCACAGTGTGAAACAATCATGTTACCGAGACAATCATGTTACGTAGACAATCATGTTACCGAGACAATCATGTTCGCTGCGAAAAGAGCTAAATGCGTGTGGACACTATCAGAAGTAGATTAATAGGGAATTCTGATACTATGAATATTGTATGTTCAGCTACCGTACACAGACTCGTTACAAAGGCCAACACGTCTACTGTTCTATTATCACGAGCCATATATGAATGTATATTTGAACACTCTGGAGACACTGGCCATTATTTGCATAGTTACCATATAGGCTCGGCGCAGTGACAAACATTCACTATTTTGAAAATTACCGTAAAGGTTCTGCGAATGTGGTTAGAACCGATATCGACATTATTCTGTCAGCGTAATATATTCCTCAAAATTTCTATCGTACACAAGTCTTGCAGTACGCGTCAATGTAAAATCGTGACAATGTACTCGTAATATTATATCAAGAGCTAATAAAACCAGTTATATTAGGAATACTAGGTATTGTTAGGTCTTGATTATTTATATGTATAATACCTGTGATATTATATTCTTTTGACAATATATTTATGACAGTATATACATGTGACAATATATACCTGTGACAATATATACCTGTGACAATATATACCTGTGACAATATATACCTGTGACAATATATACCCGTGACAATATACTTGGTACAATATATACTCGTAACAATTTATTTATAACAATATATTTGTTACAATATATTTGCGACAATATATACTCGTGACAATATACTTGGGACAATATATACTCGTGACAATGTACCTGGGCCAATATATACTCGTGACAATATATTTATAACAATATATTTGTGACAATATAATATACTCGCGACAGTTACTTGTGTGATTGGCAGCTCAGTAGAGTACCTGTGATAATACCAGCTTCGTATATGTCGTGTATTTGCCACGCAACAATTCTCATTATCACAAACCTGACTTATAAATATATGCTGCACATTACACCCAATACCACTCTGTGAGACTTGTACAAATAACACACGCGGTCATCGTAAGCTTAAACTACACACGAGACGCAAAGCATGGAAAATGCGACTCGGCCATTTTGCAATCTTCTCGGCTTACAATCAACGGCAGTGAAGAACGCAAAGACTGCAATTCGCTTGCACGTCAAGACGTCGGGAGCTTCGTTCAACAACCGCGTGTTAAGATCCACTCGAATAACGTAGAAATATGAAGCCCACGCTTGCCAAGCTGAGCACACACGATTTCGCATTGATAATTTGCATGCGTTTCTAGCCGGCAGCAGATTTCTGTGTGCTTTAGCAGCACCGTTAATTATCCTTACATGTTCCATCGCCGTACAGGCAAATTCAGGCGAAAACCTCGATTAATGCGAGGCTGTACCCTTATTAAGAGGAAACGTATGCTTCCTCACGTATGTGATAATCAGATAAGGGGAACTGACATCATATAAATTATTCCTCACATTGTGTTACGCACTGTCTGGATGGATGAGTAATGCTAGACAGACAGACAACAGTGGTTACTGTCGTGCCGACGACGAATTAGTGGAAACGACAGGAAAAGAAACAGAGGAAAGGATGCGGGAGATGGAGAGGGAAAGAATACAAATGTATGAAAGGGAAGGATAGGGCAAAAAGAAGGGGAAGAGTAAAGGAAAAGAAGGAAGTGGAGCGAAGATGGCAGAGCAATATATAAGGGAAATGTGGAAGATAGAGAGAGATGGAGACAGACAGACAGACGGATGGACGGGCGGACGGACAAATATGATGATGTAGGAGAGCACAGTAAGCACCCACCCGCAGCATCCAATTCCCTCACTTGTCGCTGCAATAGAGAAAATATATTAATTCGCAAACACCTCTACAAAAATGGAATGAAGCCATACCTCGCTGCATGGCGGCGAGTAACCACAGATGTTGGCACTACAAAAAATTAATCATCGTGTACATACGATTCCGATTCTTTATTTCTGGCAATTGAAGCGTCCCCTCTTGACATATTTTAGCCAGGTATTTGTTGTTGTGCTTTGCTGTTCTGTATTTGTTGTTGTTGTCATCGACATCGTCGTCGTTATCATCGCTGACGTTGTCGTCGCTGTCGTCGTCGACGTCGTCGTCGTCGTCGTCGTCGTCGTCGTCGCCGTCGTCGTCGCCGTCGTCGTCGTCGTCGCCGTCGCCGTCGTCGTCGTCGTCGCCGTCGCCGTCGTCGTCGTCGTCGCCGTCGTCGTTGTTGTTTTGTTGTTGTTGTTGTTATTGTCGTTGTTGTTGTTGTTGTTGTTGTTGTTGTTGTTGTTGTTGTACGTTATTTTGCGGGGTTAGAGTTACGGTGCTTCCCTGAGCATTACGAGTGACAGATATCGCATAAAGCTGACCATTAAGAGGGTTATCGCACCACTCTTTCTACAAGTGGCATACAGAACTGATATTCCCAAGCTATTTACGGATATAAATCTCGGTGATATCAACGAGGATGTCGATCAAATATCAACCGTTACGTTGTTAACTAGAGAAATTGTAGCATACTAGATATTTTAGGCTATGTTTAGTAGAAGCGCGCAGTGAGACGATTTTATCAGCTTTTACCGGAAACAGAAAACAGAAAAACTACAACTTATAATCGATATGAGCTAATCAGTCGATGTATCGCCGAGCTAGACGCCTAGTTGAATCGTTCCTAATCAACCTCACTCAATCACTGGATTGCGTGCGGCAAAATCGGACTCGCAAAACTCTGCCATAATCGTGTTACTCTTGCTACAAAAGCTGCCTTAGGAATATTAATTAAAAAACCTCATCGTAATTAAGGCTCCACTGCATGCCTCCGGCACTACTAATATAATTAAGTCTTCCCCTTTCATACGATCACTTCACATTTAGAACTATTTTACTGCATGCATTCATTACAGGAATGCTAAGACTCACAGACGCCGTGAGTAGTACACGCAGAAGTACCCTAGCGCTGACATCATCGCTCATTGATTGCCAGGGATCGATCGATTGATACAGTGCTCTCGCTACTCACTGGATCACCAGAAATCGGGAATACCCACGAATCCCGCATAATTAGCGAGGATATAAACACTCGCGCTCAAGATGCGAGTAATTACGCATTTAGCACCCAACTAATTATCGATGACATGAATGAAGCTGCCCGTGCCACGAGAGGCGCCACCTGGTGGAGAAAAGAACGATTGACCACAACGCGAACGATAGCATATTTGATGACTGTATCTACATCAGAACACTCATACGCCACTGCGCTCATCAGCTGTGCTCAACGCACTGCTGTATCACGCATTTATAATGCCCTATAAAAACATAATCAACATCGTCATTTCAAAATCAAAGTGAAAAATCATTTCAAAATCATCATAATCATCAAAATCATTTCAAAATCATCAATATAATTTCAGAAAAATCAAAATAATAAAAATCATTCAAAATCATTTCAAAATAAAAATCATAATTTGTCATTATTCACCCCTGATCGTATCTATAGATTGACGTAAAGCCGTTCTGCTCAGAGGCTGGTGCCTGCAAGGAAGCCATGGTAGAGCCTAACCCAAATAACCTGTATAGTAACGGATTCTCTAGACTTCTGGTCTTCTCGAAGCATCACTCCGGGTGGCCACGAACGGAGATCCTCCGTCTATCCACACATGCAGCTGTGCTCTATTTTGCTGCGTCCACACCGTAACGACGTTTTCTTCACGTATATGATCCCGGCAGCTGAAACGCCTCTAACGTAACCTCGCATGCCTTGACCCGCTGGCGTGGTTGCTCCGGGTTAAGTAACTTAACCTCGTAGCGGCTGCTAATTCTTCATTGACAACGTTAAATACCCACTAAGTTGTGCCTCGTAACGATGTGTGTATCCTGCTCATTGGTTTACTAATGATAGGCCAGAGACGCGACCAGCCCGCTGTCGTGTTACGGCGAGCCTACGTGAACGCATGCTGCCGTCAAACCGCCCCGTCATACACATCATTACAGCTTCGTTAATGATTTCCCATCGAAACATGTAGAATCACTATACCGCCATCTTCGTCCGAGAGGGGGCGGGGGTATCCAACTCGATGTCATCTGCATTTATTCGGAGAATTATCGTACAATCTAGCATCGACGTTAGAAAAGACGAATGCATTTCAACACACGCACATACTGAAGCCCATTCGTGGAATCGTCGCTCCCGTCAAAAAGCTCCTGCGGTATCTATATTTAATAATATACGCAATAAGGTGCGTAATGCTTCTCCTTATCCTTCCCAGACGGTCACCAGCCTCACCCCTTCCTCATTCTCATTCTCCTTCGCTTCCTCCTCTTTCTCTTCCCCCTCCTCCTCCACCACCCCTTCTCCTCCTCCTCCTCCTCCTCCTTCTCCTTCTTCTCCCTTCCCCTCCTTCTCCTCCTCCACCTCCATCTCCACCGCCACCGCCCCTCCTCCTCCACCTCCTCCGCCTCTATACTCTCGGTACACATCGGGCAAAGGGATGAATTTTATACCAATAGGCCTACGGCTGTATATTTACTCCGCCGCCGCTATCGCAGACAAAATCATTACCGATCGTCGTACAGCGCGCGCTCGCATATAGCATGCAGGCGCGTATATATCCGAGATTGTCGCACGCGGCTTACCGGACGTGTACTCAAACACACTCGTACTGGTCCTGTCGTTGACTCTCGCCACCTCCTGCTCAGCCTCGTCACCGTACACTCGTCGCAGCTCTACCTTCTCGTCGGCCATAACGCTGAACAAGAACCAGCGCGCACTCCTCTACTTCGCTATGCACGGACCGCGGGCGGATTCGAGTGTGCAGCAGCTAGCTTTAAAGGCAGTCCTTTTAGCAGCTTG